GGCACGACCCCTCATCCCCTGCATCGGCAGGCGGACTCTCAACCACTGCGCCACCAGGGAAGCCCCTAGGAAAGCATTTTTAAAAGACATTTTAAATAAATATTTCTACTGATTAGGCCACAAATTTATACTTGGATTTTCAGAAATAATTTGCCTGGTTCTCTCATCTCCACAATTGAAGTCTCTTTTCATTAGATGACTGCCTGGGATTCAACGCCAGGTATGTCTGACTCCAAAGCTTGATGTGCTTTCCACTGTCCCTTGCAGCATTCTCTTGAGGAATAATCGTACAAATTCTCAGGTTGTACGCCTTTCACAGTATGATTAAGAGCATGGGTTCTCGGATCTGACTACCTCTTCCCTGCCAGTAGCCCCGTGGCCTCAGGGAAATCATTCAATCTCTCCACGTCTCAGTGATCAGTAATAATATCCACCCCCAGGGCTTATTGTGATGATCTAATGAGCGAAAGTACATAGAACAATACCTGCTGCCTGGGAAGCATTCAATAAAAGTTGGCCCTTTCTGTATAAATTGATAAGTACTCTTCTCAAAACTAATGATATAGTGACATTTTAATTAATGAGAAAATAAAATTGGCCAAAAAAAAAACCTCTATGCCAGTGGTTCTCAAACTTTAGGGGTCATCAGAATTCACTGGAAGGCTTGTTAGAACACTGTTTTCTGTGCTCCACCCTCAAAGTTCCTGGTTCAGTAGATCTGGGTATGGGCCAGAGAATTTGCATTTTTAACAAACTCTCAGGTGATCTTGGTGCTGCTGGGCAAGGCACCACACAGTGAGAACCACCCTATGCTCTGCTAAGTATTTCTAAGAATATTTTCACCTGAACTTGAGGCTACATTGAGATTGGAGATAAGGTCTAAGTTTTGAGTCTTGGCAAGCACACCATTTACCCTTCTTGACCGTTGGACTTTTATCTGTGCGATGGGAATAGAATAATACCATCTGATTGATAAGTTGTTTGCGGATTACAATATGAAGGCATTAATTATACTTTCATATATGCAAATATGAGCTCATATCAAATAAGACATGTAAAATATTTGAAGATTATAAAATTTATGCTCTTCTCACCATGGCTGAGATTCTGTTTTCTAAGGATCATAATTCTGTCACTTGTAATCCAACAGTTTTTTTTTGTTTTTTGCGGTACGCGGGCCTCTCATTGCTGTGGCCCCTCCCGTTGCGGAGCACAGGCTCCGGACGCGCAGGCTCAGCGGCCATGGCTCACGGGCCCAGCCGCTCCGCGGCATGTGGGATCCTCCCGGACCAGGGCACGAACCTGTGTCCCCTGCATGGGCAGGTGGACTCTCAACCACTGCGCCACCAGGGAAGCCCAATCCAACACTTTTAAACAAGTAATTTCATTATTTTAAACTTGGATTCAATTAACATTTCATAAATCAAAAGTCTCAAAATATGTTGGTTCCTTATGAACAAAGTCAAGATTTAGAGAGACTTCACACTTCAATTACCGGTTAGGTAATTGGGAAAATTGTAGCTTGAATGCTGTATTTTGCATAATTTACCTAAATATTAAAAGTTTATGTTTATATGTTATTGTATACCTTTCCAAGCAGTTTGAATATATGATATAATTTTAACTTGACAGAAATGTTATCAAAGTCACTCACTAATTGTGTGATAAATTTAAGTGATAAGATACCGATAATAGACTTAATTGATGTGTAAACTTTGTAGGTAATATATTACTGGCTCAAAGTGTGTACCGAACTGTCCTCCTATGCTTTGCTAACCAGACAGTGAAACTCTTATAACGTGGTCTTTCTAGAATATTGGAAAACTGGAGTAGAGGATAAGAGATATTTAAATGGCTTTACTTCATTGAATAGTTGCAAAGTTTCTCAGTAGCTCTATATATCTACCTTCAGAAAATGGAACTTAAACAAGCTTTACTAATGATACCTTTTAAAGCTACCCCTGAGCTACGTCCCAGCAATTTAATTTTCAACCTCTTCTACCAGTTAAATACCAAAAATATAATTAAAGAAAAGTCCTGATCTCTCCTTAAATAAAGAACTTTTGTTTAATTACTTTCAAATGACAAAACAAGAGCAAATTATCTCCATTATAACCTTATAGGTCTTCAGTGAGTTAATTAGAAAATCCTGTTTTTGTTTAAGATAGTCCAGTGGGAAACAAAACAATTAAAGGATTCATAGCACTATGGAGTGCAATTAAAACAGAGCATTCACAACATGGTTGCAGATTTCTCCTATAAATAATCCTTTATTCAATGCAGCAAATACAAGCAGAATGTACCACAAACTGAATATGGGTTTAGGCACTTACAACTTCATTCTTATCATTCACATGTGGGTGAGAAAAGAAAATGAAACACTATCTCTAGGGGCAAAGGATGACTTCATATTTTCTTAATCTCTTTCCCTGAGGAGCTTTTAAACTGTAAAATATTCACAATTACATACAGTGTCCCCAAGCTACTTTAACAATAAATTTTTTGGTTATCTTTTTTTTTTTTTGGCCAACAGGACTTAATAAGGTCAAGTACAGGTGCTGTGAAGCAGGTGAGAGGAAATTATACGTTGAAAGAGGACAATGGCTTGATCCTTAGGTATTTCCTCTGCCTACTTGTCCTATGTTTAGATATCAAGTAGCTATCCAGGCTCTTTTCTGGGAAGGAGAGAATTTTAGTTGTGACTTTCCTATGGTTAGTTTTATCCATCACCTCCATGTGGCTTGGTTCTGATGCTGGTGGCAAGAGGATAAGCCGTTCCTCGACTGAATGGCCTACACAAGAAAATGAACCTTTGTTGAGGATAGCCTGGTTCAGAATTCCATGGGACTGGGTATTTTGCAATACTAAGCCAGTAACCTTTTATGAGGCCAGTATTTACAGGGATAATCATCTTAAATTTTAGTGATCTTCCAGAGCTCACAGTGACAAGATTTCTGATATAAAACAGTCCTCACCAAGGAGGGCTGTTGCTATCTTCATTTCCTATCTTCTAGGACTGGATTACTCTTATCTTTCTCTTCTTTTCCAGATCCTTTCTAACCCTCCTTATACGATCAGGGCCCCAGATGAATATTACTTGTATATTATCTTTCTCACCATGCTACAATATAATCAGTTATTTCTTTCTTCCAATGACTTTTGGACTTTATAAAACATTTGAGTCACTTTCCACAATGGTAGGACCAGGCCTGTCTTGTTCAGCATTTTACCTCTAGCACTGTGGTTCTCAACCCTATTGGACCCAATTCTCCCTTTAATACCAAATATTTTGTAATGCTTCATCCATTATATTAAGATAAAGTTCATAAAAATATGGCCATTTACATATATCATTTTAAAGAAAAAAATCAACATAATGTACTGCCCTAACTGTACGATAAAGGAGGAATAAAAGTAATTTATAATAAAGGGATATATGTATTATTATATATGTGATGCTCAGATATGACTATCCTAGGCGATATTTCTATGAAAGAGTCAGATGTTTGCCTCCACTTTTAATGAATAAGGTTGGGTATGAGAAAAGTAACATGATCAGAAGTTATTCTGTGCAAGAACAGGGAGATGAGAGTAGAGGTCTAAATGGATACTAGAATAAGATCTACAGTTAAGACATATAACAGATTCTACTTATTTTATGTAATGTTTTATGGGAAAGAAGGAAATAACTTTTATTAAAACAAAGATAACATACCAAGACATATTATAGATGTTGCAGTGGAGAAAATAAGAAAGTGTTACATTCTCACAAATGAGTGTTCCTTATAGATAAGAGTGGTATCAAAATAATTCTCTCTCTTTTATGAGATAGGACTGAAATACCACAGAGAACATCCATCCTATCTCAAAGTTCCATTGCACGCTGAGGTGAGCATCTGTTCTCCAGTATTTCAGGAGGCCCTTGGGAGCACACCCTGCCAAAGGTAAGAAGGAATTGAGGCTGAACTGGAAAAAGAAATAGTCATGATACCACCTGCATAGAAGTTGGTTGGTAGACCCTGCCGGATAGTGGAAGAGTAATATTAAAAATGCAACAGGCTACCCGCAAATAAATAAATCATTATATAGTTATCTCAGCCCAGATTTTGTATGACTGTGCTCCCAACATTTTAAAAGACCATATACAAAATATTTATAAAGCAGACTTTGTTAATGAGATTCAATGAGAGCCCTGTGTTTCATGTTTCTCTGCTAATTTAATGATAGTTATTTTTAAGAAGACGTTTTACAACCTCACAGTTACATAGCTTTAATTTGTTTTGTGGTTTCTGAGGTAATTCTTCTACTGCACTAATATCATTTTCAAATAAATATGTGGGTAGAAATCACAGGATGCACAATCTGTGTTAACTAGTCAATGATTTTGAGAGACTATATTTATACCATTTAATTTTTCCTGTACAGATTATTAGGCGTATGCAGAACTTCATGTAAAACCTTTCAGTATGATTACATATGAAAGTATTATTGATTGAAGTTTGGTGTGGAGGGACCGTCAGAAGTCAAGAGGGATGCAGGGGGATTCTTTATGCTGGGCTGAGCAGCTCATCACAGGACAAGTTACTACATGCCAATCACCTGGAAAACCAAAGATGCTTCCACAAATTTCCAGAACATTCTGTGGCAGGCGTGATGACCATGGTTGAGAAGCATTGCTCTAACACTAAATACTTTCCAAATATTTGACAATTGGATTTGCTCATTGAACACTAGTCTTTAAGTCAGCAAAATACAGAGAAGAGTGAATATTATTCCTGGCAGGGGTCTTGCTCCTATTGAATCCCCCTCACATCGATAATGATCCAGCTGAAATGCAAAGTCTGAAAGTGGCATTTTCTTGCTTACATCTTTTTCTTGGCTTCTCATCATGCTCAGGACATAATAATGTCTATGCTTTTTTGACATGACATACAGGATGCCGGTGACCAGGACCTTTTCTGTCTCTCCAGGCTCTTCTCCAGATACTCTCCACCTTCTCCTGAATGCTTAAGTACCACCTGCGTAGGGCTGTCTGTTCATCCCAGGTTCCTCCTGCCTCTGTCTGTCTATGTATAGTGTCTCCTCAGTCGGCTACCTTATGTGGATGGTTGGTTCAAGGTTTGGCTTCTAGGTCAACTCTTTGGAGAAACATCTCTCCTAGGAAGTCGAATTTGAACCATCAGACTGGACAGAGTCCTTCCCAACCTCTGTAGTTCCACAGAATCAGAGTGATCTGTTCATCTGTCTTGGTCACAGTATCTTGATCCCACAATCTACCACTAGATTATAAACTCTTCAAGGGCATGGCCATACTTATTGATCTTTGTCTTTCCAGCAATAATTTGTTCAATGCCACTTTGAGTGCTGTGTGTGCATACATGCGCACGTGCACACACACACACACACACACACACAGTCTAGTTCAGTATATCCAATATACATTTTGTCAATGAATTAAAATAATTCATTCCAATATAATTTATTTAACAAGTTTCCAAAATACTTAGTGGTACCTATCTCAACACAGGGATAACATCTTAGGTGTCTTATCTAAACTTGATTTACGTGATGCATTTTGAATGGTTCCAAATATTTTGCTGGATTCGTGGAAATATAGGCACATTAGAATTGGTGCTACAGCCTAGAATTTCACCACATAATGGATTAACCTTAGGATTTGGAAGCATGACAACTTAAAAATATTGCTACCTAATAGTAAAAATAACTCAAAGGTAGGGAGATCAAACCCAATCACCTAAGTAGACCAAGACCAAATAACAGTTCTGCTTTTGAATTTACCTTTTAACAAAATATTAAATTTAAATAAAATTGCTTCTTAAAATAGCCTACGTATCCCTCAGGTCAATGAAATGCAATTTCTATTAAGCAGAAATGCATCAAATGCCTTTTAGAGTTTATAACTTTTATCTCAAAGGAGATAAAATCAGGTTGTTTTCCCTGAGATAAAACTTTCCTGGTATGAATTTCAACTTGTATTATCTATTTTCTCTACCAAGGTCCCTTTCTTTTCTACAAAGAATAAACTGAAAGAAAATTAAACAATGGGTACTAGAAGAAGGAGGTATCAGTAATAATGAGTTTTCTGATAGAAAATTAGGAAGTTGGACATTAAATAGTAAGAAAGCCCATTTTTTACAAGTCTCAATGAATTAACATTTCTCAATTAAACAACTACTCATTGTATCTACTATGCACTAGGCTTTTCTACATCTATTCACAAGTGGAACATAAACTTGATTTTTTTTTTTTTTTTTACCTGAGCCTTATTTAGCGCATCACAAGGAAACAAATTCTGCAAATGGTTTGAGGCTGTGATCTCATTATGTCAGCATAATAGTGATTTATTCACTTGAATCAAAACGACTCAAAAAACTCCCCCCAACTTCATAGCACAAAAGGAAAGGGAAATACGCTTTCACAAGTTTGAGTTGATAAGTTGGTTATTTAGGGGCAAACAAAGTTTTGACATTAAGGTTAGAAAAGGAGAGATGAAGTTTTTTCACACACAAATCCAGCCAGGTATCACATGTTTCTATGGTATCAAGGAAGGCAGACTGGAATTTAGATGAATTATCTCATGACTCTAAATAGTTTATTGGAGGAACTCAATCTTTACAAGTTAATTAGCATCCACTTGACACTAAAATCAGAATTATAACAAACAATACCCGGTTTACTTACAGAACTTTAAGACTGTAAAGGCCAGCAAATGCTCCCTTGGGAATGTATGTCAAAGCGTTTCCGGCAAGACGTCTGCGGGTTTCAAGGGAGAGGAGGGAGAGTAAGCATAGCTCTCTTCATGTGGAATTCATTTAGTTGTTAAAAATGCAATACAATTATGTGCAGACCACGAATGCCAAAAGCAACTCTGAAGAACCTTGTTTTGTTATATTTTGCAAAAAATTTCTTTAAATCTCTAATCAAAAAGCTGGCAAAGGAAGGGCCTAAGAAGAAATATAATAAATTACCTATTTTACAATAAATCACTTAATAGCTTACACTATGTATATAAAACTCTCTATCCGTTCATCTGTTGATGGACATTTAGGGTGCTTTCATGTCTTGGCTATTGTATATAGTGCTGTAATGAACACTGGGGTGCATGTATCTTTTCGAATTATGGTTTTCTCCAGATATATGCCAAGGAGTAGAATTGCTGGATCATGTGGTAGTTCTATTTTCAGTTTTTTAAGGAAACTCCGTACTGTTCAAAACAGAAACAGACTCACAGACATAGAAAACAAACTTATGGTTACCAAAAGGGAAAGGTGGGGGGGAGGGATAAATGAGGAATTTGGGATTAACACATACACACTACTATATATAAAATAGATAACCAACACGGATCTACTATATAGTGCAGGGAGCTCTACTCAATATTCTGTAATAACCTATAGGGGAAAAGAATCTGAAAAAGAATGGATATACGTATATGTATAACTGAATCATTTTGCTATACACCTGAAACTAATACAACATTGTAAATCAGCTATACTCCAATATTAAAATAAATTAAAAAAATAAAACTCTCCTTAAAAAAATTTTTTTTATACAAAAAGTAGGCAAGGGAATAGAGAGGGAGCCATGGGCGGTGGTTGTGAGGGCAATGGGCTATTATTTACAGGTACGACGGTTGATGGTTGGGGAAACCCCTCTGCTGAGAGGGCATTTCAGCAGAGGACTGAGCCATGCAGGGACCTATGTGAAAGGAACAGTGGTGCAAAAGGCCTGAGGAGGGAGTGTGACTGGCGTGGTCCAGAAACTGCAAGAAGACCAGCATGGGTGGAGTGGAATGACCAAGGGGAGAGTGACAGCAGGTGAGGTTGGAGCAGTGTCCAGAGTCACTCCACACAGGGCTCTGGAGGCCACAGTAGGGACTTCGAGCAGGGGAGTGATGTGATCAGTTCTGTGTTTTAAAAGGGCCCTTCTGACAGGACGCTTTTTTTTTTTTTAAATACATTTATTTATTTATCTATTCATTTATTTATTTTTGGCTGCGTTGGGTATTCATTGCTGTGCGTGGGCTTTCTTTAGTTGCAGTGAGCAGGGGCTACGCTTCGTTGTGGTACGCGGGCTTCTCATTGCGGTGGCTTCTCTTGTTGCGGAGCACAGGCTCTAGGCGCACGGGCTTCAGTAGTTGTGGTGTGCGGGCTCAGTAGTTGTGGTGCACAAGCTTCATTGCTCCGCGGCATGTGGGATCTTCCCGGACCAGGGCTCAAACCTGTGTCCCCTGGGTTGGCAGGCGGATTCTTAACCACTGTGCCACCAGGGAAGTCCCTGACGGGACCCTTTTAAAGGGGGAATAGACTTTGGGGCAAAAGTGGAAGCACAGGAGGCGACTAGAGCAGTTCAAACAGGAGCTGCTGGTGTAACACAGCTGTGGTGGAGGAGGTAAGTGGTGGAATACGGTGGAGAAGAAAGAAAAATCCTACCTGGCAAACCATTTGTGTCAAGGTGAAACGTAGGTAGCCAACATTTCATATTTATGGTTATATTCTGTATAACCCACATGCATTTGATTAGTTATGCAAAGTACTATACGTAAACTGAAGGACATGGTTTGCATAGGACCGTGCTATAAAAGAGTTGCTTATTGAATTAAGACAGACTCAGACTTGGTTGACGATCACAGGTGGCTTAACTGATCAGACTAAACTGACCAGGAACTGTTATTTCAGCCAAAATGTCCTTAACTATCCTGTTCATAGTCATGATTTCAACAGTACATTTTTTGAGTTCTAAAACCTAGCCTGAAAATGGGGGCTTATTGACTCTTACTGCTGCTATGTGATCGAGTAGCTTGATGGTTTCTGAGTCATTGACTTTGGAAATGAAAAGGAGAAAGTAAAAACGTTCTATTTATTTATTTTATTTGTTTAAATTATTGTTAGGGTAAATACCTTTCTGTTACATTTCCTGAATCATAGCTCACTTCACATGAGTTGTTTTTCTTTTCTGGGCAAGGACCTTCAGAGCCGCAGACTATATTCAGAACTGATCTGTGTAACCACTGACCTGTGTTATCAGGGGAATTTGTCTTAAAACAAAGGAATTTAAGACGGGCTATTAGTTATTCATTGTGCTGGTGGAAGATATATCTCATTGTCCAAAACCACAATTTAAGGAAATCATTGCATCCTTCCCCTCATTTCTTTACCACGTGGGATGGTTTTAGCAGTTAAAAAATTAAATACATATAAACTATAGGGAAAAAAAGACTTTTATATGAATGAGTACACAAATAGTGAGAAATGCACACAAATCTTTCCTGTGAAGATTTGAACTAACAAATCTCTGGGCAACTACGTTCCAACCCTTGAGACCCACATACCATTTGGCTGGAAGGTTTTGTTTTTTGTTTTTCTCTCTGTTTCTAAAATTATTTCACAGAAATGTCTCTTTCATCATCTTCATTTCTATAATAAGATACAACTTAATAGGAAAAACTTTTATATCTTTTTATATCACATAAAAATTTTTTTAGCCTTAAAGATACCTCTCCATATAGAAGACTCAAATTGTCCTATAATTGTTAGTTTTGCTGACTTAACTGCCGTAAAAAGTAAAAAAAAAAAAAAAAAAAAAAAAAAAAAAAAAAA